CTTTTGCGGACTGTACACGTATCTACAAGCAGGAAGTGAACTTGGGGTGGGGTAGAGTCATTCTTCCACAAGAGGGTTGTTTTTTTTGATTTGTTTCATGAATATAATGTCAATCGAATTTGAACTGAACCAGATATTTTTGTTGAACTAAATTGAATGTAATTTTGAAAGGGTGCACCCAGGTAAGAACTGTTGACTACTGTGATTGTAAAGAAAGTTGTCAATGAGAAGTGTTGGTACCAAAAGAGATAATCCTGTTTACAATTCATTTTATTTTATTTTTCGACAATACAAGCCGGCATTTAAAACTTTTAAGCCTTTGTCTGAGTCTCATTCACATCACTGCTCCTGTAAGTAGTCGAATCTTCTGGTCCAAATTATTTAAAGTACAGCTGAAGTGGAATTGAGTTTAAATTATATTCCAACTGTAACAAGACTGTTACATTTATTTCACCGTTTTATCCATAAATAATGACCAGTTTCTAATATAAAACTCCAAATTGGCTCCTATAACTCCAAGCCTCATGAGCTTCATTTGACTGGAGCTGAATGCTGCGGCTGACGTCACGCTCCCTCAGTCCACTTCTGTTTACAGTTTATGACACAGTCCTAACATTAGTACAGTTGGGATGCATGACAAAGGTAAACAGGAAGTTGGAGTTCTTGAAAGTCAGTCATCTAAATATAGAGATAATGGTTTATTGTGCCCCCTCTGGAGCTGCTCCCCACGGTGCTCTGATGTATGGCTGTGTGCTGGTGAATCGGCAGCCTGCTTCAGCGGCCTGCCAGCTGTCACAGTGGGAGTCTGACGCCCATCTCTTTTCAAGGTCTACTTCTCTACACATTTATTATTTATTCATCCACACTATACCTCTTCAGTCTGGTGCCACTTTCCAACTGTCAAAGCAGAGGTGCGCTCGGCACTCTTTCACACAAAGAGGGAGTAGGTGGTGTCAAGTTGAATAATGAGGGAAAGTTCTATGTTCAGTATCATGGTGGTCACAATCAGCGTGTTTATCTGAAGTGTCTGAGGCTGGGGCAGTCAGCAGATGCTCGTGTGATTCCACAGACGTGCTCCACGCTGCGCCACAGAACGCAGACTGGCACAAAAGCACAGGAAGATGGTATAGGTGTTTAGAGGATGCTGGGGCTGATAAAGTACTACTACTACTTTTATTTATATATTTATATAATTATCTACTTATCTTCTGCTCAAGATTCAGATAATAGTGCATAGGAGTATGAAGTGCCAAAATAATAGAAGAGTCCACAAATGGAGCTTTAGTTCTATACATACAGTATATATGAGGCAGTGGATCGACTCAGTCACATGGGAGGAGCTTGGATTAGAGGCACTGCTGGCAACTGGCTTGTCTCATGGAGATTTAGTTAATGCTGGGCAGAAATTACAAATTGTAATTGAATTAGTTGCTTACTTAAATCGCAGTTAATCACAAAAGAAAAGATGTAGGATGTTAATACCTCTAGTTTCCAGAGTAAACATGATTCGACTGATAGATCACGATCCTCTGTGTACATACTGAATCACATATTTAGGGTCACTCTCAGTTTGGCGACTATAGCTTTAGTTTCTCGTTGATCACAGACTCTTTTTGGACAGTTTAAAAAAATCAGACAGAGCTCAGAATGGTCTCTGTGGTGTTCTCTGTACAGCAGAACTCTCCTCATGTCCACACCACACCATGTTCTTCACAGTCAGTTTGAGTTGATGCCGTCAGGCAGAAGGTTCTGGGTCCCAAACTCTAAACTGAACAAATTCAAACATTCTTTTGTGCCGTCAGATGTTAATCTGCTAAACTCAGATAGCGCAGTTAAAAAATTAATGTAAAAGGGAATGTGCAATGAAAACTGCACATAGGTTTATTATACAATTATTAATAGAATACAAGAATGCAAAGGACTCGCCTGTAAAGAATAATTTAAAGGTCCTGTTGGTGCATCACTCGTGGTCATACTTGGTGTCGTATCTGCTTTTGTTCTATGGTGTTTGTTTATGTGGTGCTTTGTGTTGTGTTGTTTTTTGATAAAGTATGTTACCCTCTGTCCCAAGACAAATTTCTCCCATGGGAGACAATAAAGGATTATCTTATCTTATCTTATAGAAAAGTGGACTAAGTGAGTGTGATGTCACTCACAGCATTCAGTGCCACTCAAATGTAAGCTCACGACACTAGAGGCTACAGGGGCAAATTTGGAGCCAGGACTCTATATTATAAATAAGATTGTTTGATGGACACAATAATGAAAAAAAAAACACAAAATTTTAAGACCAAAATGACAAGGCTCACAGCAGAGAGAGGGGCCACAATATTTCCATTTATATATATGCAGTCTATGACAGACAGATTACCTGCCTTCTCTCTCTCTCTCTCTCTCTGTGTGTGTGTGTGTGTGTGTGTGTGTGTGAGCTGAGCAGGAGACAGGGTTAACACATGAACATGCTCAACCCTAGTTTAGTTTTTTCAATGTATTTTTGTCATTATTATTATTATTATTATTATTATTATTATTATTATTATTATTATTATTATTATTATTATTTATTTTTTATTTATTTATTAATTTATTTTTTTAACTTATTGAAGTGCAAAGATTCCCCCCGATATAATATATATTTTTAGATTCCAGTTACACTCACTTACCTAGACATTAGAGTGATGACTTTCTGGGGATTTATTTCCTCAACTCTACAGAATTTAAGCCTGCAACAGTCCATTATACTGTAATCAAAATAAAAACTACTTTTACAAACTGGCCTCTAAAGTTTCATCTGTACTGTCTTGCTGTAAGGAAAGACTGAGCCTCGTACGGTGGCACTTTCTGCACACTTTGAGATTTTGTTAAGTCCTTTTTTTCAAACAACACCCTGGGCTTGTTTTTTAACTCCAGAATGAATGCACATTTTTCATGGGAAATGTTTTCTCGCACTATTAGTGTAACAGATACATTTACCAGACGCGCCTCATTATAAGTTTAGCTCTAGGCCTGCACACAGTGAACACAGCCGGGCTCATCAGCTCCCTCCAGAGCACAGCCTGCTCCGTCCAGAGCCGAGCTACAGTCCAATCACATCAGAGCAGTCCAATTATACGGCCGCTCTGAGCCCCAGCACTGTCAGCCATGTTGGATGAGTCAAGCACAGTTAAAGAAAGAACTCGGAAAACAGGCTGTTTTCTTAATAATGTTAATGTTAGGTCCCCCAACGTCTTTCTACTTATGCTGAGGATACTTATACTTGCTACTGAAGATTAATGCAACCATTTGTTTTGAATCATCGCATGGGTGAACTCTGACAGCACTACTTTTTACTAAACGTACACCTTACACACCACCACTACACTACACCATCAGTATACCACCACTACACCATTACTACACCACCACTAAACCGTCACTACACCGTCACTACACCGTCACTACACCGTCACCACACCGTCACCACACCGTCACTACACCACCACTACACTACACCATCAGTATACCACCACTACACCACTACTACACCACCACTAAACCGTCACTACACCATAACTACACCGTCACTACACCACCACTACACCGTCACTACACCACCACTACACCGTCACTACACCACCACTACACCGTCACTACACCACCACTACACCGTCACTACACCACCACTACACCATCACTACACCGTCACCACACTGTCACTACACCGTCACTACACCGTCACTACACCGTCACCACACCGTCACACCACACGTCACACACCGTCACCACACCACCCACTACACCCACCACTACACCGTCACTACACCACCACCACTACACCATCACACTACACCGTCACCACACACCGTCACTACACCGTCACTACACCGTCACCACTACACCGTCACCACACCGTCACCACACCACACACACGTCACACACCACCACTACACCGTCACTACACCATCACACTACCACCATCACTACAGCATCACTACACCGTCACTACAGCATCACTACACCGTCACTACACCATCACTACACGTCACTACACTGTCACTACACCGTCACTACACCGTCACTACACCATCACTACAACAACAACAAACTTTATTTATAGAGCACTTTCATACAAAAATGCAACACAGAGCGCTACACTACACCATCCCTACACCATCACGACACCACTACTACACAGTCACTACATCGTCACAACACCGTCACTACACCATCACCTCATCACTACATCATCACTACACCACCACTATACCATCATTACACCACCACTACACCATCAGTACACCATCAGTACAACATCATCACTGCACAGTCACTACACCATCACTACACGTCACAACACTGTCACAACAACACCACTACACCACCACTACACCGTCACAACAACGTCACTACACGTCACATCATCACTACACCATCACTGCACTGCCACACTACACCATCACAACACTGTCACAACACCGTCACCACACTATCACTACATCATCATTACACCATCACTACACCATCACAACACCATCACTACACCGTCACTACACCGTCACTACACCATCACTACGTCATCACTACACCATCAAAACACCATCACTACACCATCATTACACCATCCCTACACCATCACAACACCATCATTACACCATCACTACGTCATCACTACACTATCAATACCACCATCACTACACCATCACTACGTCATCACTACATCATCACTACGTCATCACTATGTCATCACTATGTCATCACTATGTCATCACTATGTCATCACTACACCGACACTACATGGTCACTACACCATCATGTGATACTTCTGAGGGAGATACAGGATGTAACAGAAATGTGCAAAGCGGGTAAACAACTCTCCTATCTATCATTATTTCTAAGCCTGTCATCAGTTTGGGTGTTAGGCCTCGTTTTGGTGTTTGGGTGTAAATAGAAAGGGTGAATGTGAGTAAGTGACAGTAGGCAGTATGACATTACACAAAAAGACACATGTTGAACATTTGTACCTGGACGGCCACCACAGAGAGCACCTCCACTGAGATCCTGTTGAACTCGTCGAAGCAGCCCCACGCTCCAGTCTGTGCCAAGCCTTTGTAGATGTTCCCACACGACTGAAGGATGAGAGAAACTATTAGTCACATCAATACAAGAAGAAAAGCCCCTGAATGAGATCTGGGTTGAAATAAAGTTTTTTAGGCCTGCAAATCATCCAAATTAAATGCATCTGAAATTTGAAATGTAACAGACTAAGTGGGCTCACAGTTTAAACTAAAACATGCTTTTAGGAAAGGTGTAATTTTAGACATGCTAACTCTATAGTTTAGACGAGGGATTCACCGATCCGATACTGGCGCCGATATTGAAAATTTAGCTGGACCGGATAGTAGCTTATCGGTTCAGCCAATATCCTGCCTGGACAGATGCATCAATGTAAGAACAATATTTAATGGTCATAGTTGGTCTAGAAAGTCTCATAATATTTGAACTTTTATTTATTGGTGATTTACACATTTTAGAATCTGATGATGTTGTACTCAAAAGACAGATTTCCCTATCAATAGCATTGTGCTTTGTCGTGAAATATCGAAAAACTTTATTCTCAAATCTTTAATGTAAACTTACAAATATAAAAACCTACACTTTAACATGTTGTATTTTACCTGCCCCCCATCCGTATTAAATAATATTGGCATACAGAATGTTGTGATGTTGTCTGAAATCCAGCAGTACAGAGCTGTTGTGTGCTGACATGAAGGAAATAAAAACAGCTCCATAACACATATGGATCAGTTTTGCCTTATTTTATTTTTGTTTTAAGGAAATAAATGCTGTTTTCAGTCTGCACTGATGATGGTAGTGGGCATCAGCAGATACTTAAAGCTATAGTATCAGACCTGCATATTCACAATATTCTTCTTTTATATCAGACGATCAAGTACAACAGCTCTATTAAAATACTGCAGCATTATTGTTCCCAGAATGAAAGAGGTTTATCTGGTGATTGTGGTCCAGCCTGTGCAGCCTTGTGACTTCTGTGACACACAGATCTCAGCACACAGACAACGAGCTCTGAAAGCTCAGCTCCTGCTCTCACCTCAGCTCCACACGATTGCATAAGATTACCTCACTCTCTACTTTTCCACTTCTGAACTACAACAAGTCCACACCTGAGTTCTGTTTAAGGAACTGTTATTCAGTGCAGGTAACTCTTATTGAGCTGATTGTTTTTTAAACTGCCCCTAGAACAGACTCGGCCCCTCTGACCACTCCCACTCACACACTCACCACACTTGTACTAGGCTAGGTGGGTGAAGTGTCTTGCCTAAGCACACAAGGGCAGAACATGGTCTGAACAGGATTCAAACCTAGCAGATGGTGTTTATTTTTTATTATTATTAAAGAGCCTGTACCTGATTTTAATGTATTCTAGATAAGATAAATGGTCTTGCATCATGCACTGTACAGTAAAAGCAGCTAAATAATTTTAAAATTGAGTAGGGCTGCAACAAGTGAATCAATTAATCACAACCAACTGATTATTAAATCCATGCAGATTGCACAACTCAATAGTACAATAAATCTAATAAAATATGCACCAAATTGTAATCCAGAAGTCCAGAAGTATACACAAAAACATACATACATACATACATACATATATACACATATATACACATTCTCTACACGTACAGAAGTAAAGGCGTGGTACAATTAAAAGGGACACTTATCTATGTTTATTCCCTTAATGAAGTTATAAAAGAAAAAATGCTCCCATTTTTCTTCATAGAAATGCATCGGTCATTAATTTGATAAATTAGTTGCTCATATGAGGCGGTTTCGGAGAGGGCTGTGTACCATTCCAAGTAAGTGGGTTTATTCTGTTCTTTCCATGTCTTAGTATGACTTGGTCACAGTAAAAGCAGTTTTCAGCTCTCAGAACTCTCTTTCCCTTTATACCTATTATCTGACTCTGAGATATTCAAAAGTCATAACTGGGTGTCAAGAGTATTTTACTTTTCAGACTTTGGCCAATTTGATCTATGACATCATTCCAGAACTTCAAAATCCAGGACAAGTAAGACACATATGAATCAAATCGCCAGGAGCAGATTTACACCTCCAACACATATCGGTCTGACTGATGCCTGCCCTGGGACCGTCACAGGTGTCAGTACAGTCTATTCAATATCTTAAACTGAATACATTTTGAACGTGTGGCTCTGACAGGTTTTAACATATTCTTTATGACTGTACTCCATTCGTCCACAGCAAAAGTGGTCTCCAAATGCTTTTCCCAAACTGTTTTCAGTCCCTTCTTAATATCATTCTCAGACTTCAGAGAGATCATTGTAAATATTGCTTACCAACCAAGGGAGGCTATTAAAGTGTCTAAGTTTAGAATCCACCACGGATTCAGAGGAACAGTTGATACAGTTTGTGCTCATTTTGTCAGGAAGTCCCTCAGCTGGAAGTAGCGATTTAGTTCTTTGTCTCATGAACCAAATGATAACTGAAGTGTAGGAAATGTCTTAAATGACGTATCATGGGACAGCTTTCCAATTTGATCTGTCCCGTTTGACATTCCATTATGAAACTTGGATCAATGAACCTATGACAACCTAAAATATCCTACGATAATGTATTCTAATTGATGTTTAATAATGTAACAACTGTGCAAGTGAAACAAAAATAAAGACTGGCCCCAAACCTCAGTCCCAACAAGAATAAGAGCATTTTGGTTACATTTTCGATTCCTTCCAAAACCAAATTCTATGTGGTATGGTTAAAGGTTCTCCACTATTATTATCTCAAGTTGGGCTGGAGTTGACATTAGCTTCCTCGGAGCTAGGTTGCATGGAAGTGGCCTGAGTTCTGCTATGCCAGTGTGCATCGAAGAAAGCATTTGGTCCATGTTAGGCCTTGTGGTGGTTTTTGCTCGAGTGTTCTTCCCTTTGCTCATGATACACACAGGATTCTGCAAAAAATAATAAATCTACTACTCGCTACTCAGTGTTGGGAAGGTTCCTTTTAAAATGTATCCCCTACAGATTACAGATTACATACCCCAAAATGTAGTTTGTAACAGAATCCATTAAATTACTTAAAGTGAGTAACGTAATATGAATACTTCGGATTACTCGATTTGTTGTAGAGCAGCAAAGACAAGGATATCGTAACATAAGATGGTTTGTCTGCTAAAAGAAAATAAAAAGCCCAGACTTGATTTAACCATATTAAAAATATTATTGATCAAAGAGGAGACACGTCAGTGCAGCATGATTTAGTCCTGTTAAATCCTGTTAAATCCTGTTAAATCCTGATTTTAGTCCTGGTTTAGTCCTGGTTTAGACCTGGTTTAGACCTGGTTTAGACCTGGTTTTAGATCTGGTTTAGTTCTGGTTTAGACCTGGTTTAGACTTGGTTTTAGATCTGGTTTAGATCTAGTTTAGATCTAGTTTAGTCCTGGTTTAGTCCTGGTTTAGACCTGGTTTTAGATTTGGTTTATATCTAGTTTAGAGCTGGTTTTAGTCCTGGTTTAGTCCTGGTTTAGACCTGGTTTAGACCTGGTTTTAGATTTGGTTTATATCTAGTTTAGATCTAGTTTAGAGCTGGTTTTAGTCCTGGTTTAGTCCTGATTTAGATCTAGTTTAGTCCTGGTTTAGTCCTGGTTTAGACCTGGTTTAGACCTGGTTTAATCCTGGTTTAATCCTGGTTTAGTCCTGGTTTAGACCTGGTTTAGTCCTGGTTTAGACCTGGTTTAGACCTGGTTTAGACCTGGTTTAGTCCTGGTTTAGTCCTGGTTTAGTCCTGGTTTAGACCTGGTTTAGACCTGGTTTAGACCTGGTTTAGACCTGGTTTTAGATCTGGTTTAGTCCTGCTTTAGACCTGATTTAGACCTGGTTTAGACCTGGTTTTAGATGTGGTTTAGATCTAGTTTAGTCCTGATTTAGACCTGGTTTAGACCTGGTTTAGATCTAGTTCAGACCTGGTTTAGTTTCCGGCAATGAGTGGAATTACCGGAAAAAAGAAAGGAAAAAAAAGTGGGGGTATAGCCCAAAATGTGAAAACAGGAAAATCCTGCGCTGTAATCCATTTATTTCAACAAAGTAACTGTAATCCAATTACCACTCACTGAAACAGTAACTGTAACTGAATACAGTTACTCATCATTTGTACTCTGATTACGTAACTCTGGTACATGTAATCTGTTACTCCCCAACACTGTCGCTAGTGTGATGCATGTACCCATGGAAGGTGCCGACAACTTCACCGCTCTTTGTTGTGATGACATTTGCAGCAGTGTCAGCTCCATTGTGCACCACAGTTTTCTAAAGCGGAAGTCTGCAGTCTTTTATTAAGACCTTTTAGATCAATATTGCAATTTAAAATGTCCAAATGCAGGCACGAGAACAAGAGGCCTTTTTTAAAAAGAGCGAGATGTAATGTTGCAGAGCTGACAGCCGTGGTCACACATAAAGATTAGAGGGACACCAAAGCGAACAATATTTAACAAAAGGCTGCCACACGGATGTTTTGATGCTTGTACACCTTGTCCAAGCTCTTATCTCATCTCAGTCCTTACATCTTCCTTAAACCAGTCTTGTGCGGCCAGAGAATCCACAAACAGAACGCGTGCATGTCAGAGCACACCAAGCAGGGCCACTTTACACCGGCTTTAGTCACAGCATACCAATCAGCTGTTTTCCGGAGGTGGGAGCCGGAGCGCAGGATGACAGAAGGAAAGATGAGAAGGAAACAGTGGATTGACACGTTTAATGACAATAGTGAGGCAGCGGGGAGAGCGTGTGTGCGGAATGCTCATGAGGACGGGGGCTGTACCTTGTAGTCCATTTGCTCGGAGCAGTTGAACACGTACACCATGATGCCCAGAGCCCGGCCCAGGTCTTTGGTGGTCTCGGTTTTGCCGGTGCCAGCTGGACCGGCCGGGGCCCCGCTCATGGTCAGGTGGAGGGACTGGGTCAGTGTGATGTAGCACCTGGACGTGGGCACAAACACACACACAGTTAGAGTGATGGTTTAGGCCTGTCAGTATAAACTCTATAAAGAAGAGGACGAAGAGAGTCAGAGTTCACACAGAGTTCAAATCCAGTCAAATGAAGCTCACGGAGGTCAACAGTTATAGGATCAAATTTGGATCAGAGTTGCATAGAAGGAATTGGAATTGATTAACTGACAAAAAAGCAAAATAAAAACCCAAGAACCATGTACTGCGGTTAATATGAACTTTTTTACACCAAAATGACGAGTGTGAAAGCAGCAGTTACACAGAGGGCGACGTTTTGCCAATACAGAGTGAGTCGATGGAGGTTTGGAGGTTAGGTAGAGGGACGGTTAGGGCTTTGGGACATGTAATAAAAAGCTGAACACTCAGGGTGCTGATATCATCCCTTTGGTGGTGAAGCTAACTAGAGGCACTGCTCTGTCTGAAACTCTGTTACTCAAATTAGATTTTAGGATGAGTTTTACTTTAACATAACATATTATTTAACATATTAACATAATCTGACCATAAAAATAAGTCACTTGGTTTGAACTACAAATCCCTCTCAGAGAACATTACAGGCACAAGCTAGTTAGTGAACTAGTGTTGTAGTACTCGACACCGGTCTTGGTCTCAAACCTGGTCTCATTTTTTGCCATCTTGTTCTAGTCTTGGAAGCGAATGTGTTTGAACTCTGTCTTTTCTGGTTCTTGAAGGCGCTTGGAAACTGTCTAGTCTTGATCTTGTTGTCTAACACTCGACAAGTGAACAAAATGGCCTTTAAAAGTCTTGGTCTAGTCCCAGTCTTAACCCTCAGAGGCCTTGGTCTTGTCCTGGTTTTGGGACCCTGTGGTTTCGCATTGGTCTCGATTAGTGGGGTCTTGACTACAACACTAGAATTAACCAACAGTTTTTACAGATCATTATTATTATTATTATTATTATTTTTTAGAAAATCTAACTTGTTCAGTTGGAGTTGACCAGTGTTTGCAGGGATGTCACTGCACTGTCTGCAGGGCGGCGGTAGCTCAGTTGGTAGAGCATTTGCCCACTGATCTGAAGGTTGGCGGTTTGATTCCAGCTCTCAACATAAACATCACAGGTTGAGCGGTCAGAACCACTGACCCACAGGTTGGCTGGTGTGATTCCAGCTCCCACAGATGAATGCTGTCGTTGTGTCCTTGGGCAGGACACTTAACCCACCCTGCCCACAGTGAATGGGTGAGTGGCTCCTTGTTGTAAAGCACTTTGAGTGCCTTGAAGGTGGAAAAGTGCTATAGAAAAATGTGACCATTTACTGTCACTATATATATTTTTAAAGGTCCTATTTTACACAGAATTGCCTCTTGTGAGCTTTAAATCATGTTAGAATGTTGTTAACTCCTCAAAACAGACCTGGACTTGTAGTTGCGTTTTGTTCATTCACACATGTTTGAGTAACCCTCACATCTCCAAAGCTCAAAATGCTCTGTTCCACCTTGTGATGTCATGAAGCTGTAGTTTTCAACCTACATTTTTTTTAGAAGAAATTGGAAATTCCAGGTTTGAAATTATCCAAATAATTGTAGTGAAGATGTATGAAGTTTTAAAAAACACAGTAGAGCATTTGCTGTATTACCACATGACATCACAAGTGTGTTTTCTGTTTGAGAGAAGAACATAACTCCAGATATTTTTGATGAGCAAAACAACATTAGAACATAGATCAGATAATAGTCTAATATGGACCATTTAAAGATAAAATCAAACAATTTGTTATGCATTAGAAAAGCCACATTAGATTCTTGTTTAGTATGTAAATAAGTAATAGACTGCAGCACAATTGGAACTCCTATGTAAAATAATGTATCACTTCTCACTAAGTAATAGGGTCTACTGTGAGTTTCTCCTTAGTCCACTTTTTGGAGAGAACATTTGTTATGAGCGCAGTAAACAGACAGAGAAATTCCAATTGTATCCAATAGAAGCCGGTGCTTTGCTATATTGTGTAGAGTGGTTGGGATTGCAATGAAAAATGAGTCCATTTTGCTGTGGACATTCCCCGGGCTCTCTTATAAATGTATGTCCCCAGAAGTTGTGAAGCCCCGCCCACAGCCAGAGCGCCCGAGCACGACTGCTGCAGGGTGCACCTCCACTGAGCCAGATCACACTCCGGAACAAGCACAACCCACAGGGACTATTTCTCTTTGGACTGACAAACACACAAGAGACAATACTGACTAAAACAAGCACCGTGTTTCTGCTCGAGCTGCACCGTTAAAGGACCAATACTGCACTTTTATTTGGTTTCATTCACATATGTTTAACGCATAAATCCTCTATATTTAGACTATGTTCTTTTCCTAATCAGAAAACACCCTGTCCAACCTTGTGATGTCATTAAGTGGCAATGCATTAATATTATTTTTGATCATTTCAGCCCAGGTATTGTCCAAATTTTAAAATGGCACTTTGATACACCTTCACTCCTCGGTGCACCAGCAGATATTAGACACTTTCTATTAGGACTGGGCGATATGGATCAAAAAATATATCTCGATATATTTTGCTATATGTCGATATACGATATATATCTCGATATATGTTCAAGAAAAAATAACCCCCTAAAACTGAAAACTGCAAAAACAAATCTGCCAAATTCCACAAGGTCCTTTTTTTTAAAAATTGAAGTGTAAGAGGTCGGCAGTTCATATAGGAACATTTAAGATTACAAAAAACCCTTATTACATAAATAATAATTTAACTGTAAAATAAAAGAAATATAACATATTTCCTTCTTTTCATTCATAAATAAAACAACTCAACACAAGCTAATCTTTGCCTTAACTCTGTTATCCAGACCATAACCAGAACCATGAGCTCCTTTAGCAGAAGAAACTCAGGATGTTCCTTATTTCAACAGATCCATGTTCCTCACCAGCGTCAGGAGCTCTGAGGTTTCCCACAATCCACTGCAGATCAAACCCATCGTTTCCAAACACTATTGTACAAGTGACACTGCAGCAGATTATTAATTAAAATTTGCTGCATAAATAAACTTTACAATATATAAAGCATAACGACTATAGAGCCACATCAGCTCGTTTGAGATAATAATGTGTTTAATGCAGTTTTGCGCATGTGTGTTTACATTTTACAGAAACAAAAGTTAAGCGCATGGCTCATTTGCATAAACAGCATTTCTCATGCAGCTCAGCTCGTTTAGCTTCTTTCGGGCTAAAGGACGCGACTCGGTGGAATATGAGATGTGCTGCTGATGGTTTTGTCTGTAAATGGTGGAAAAGGTTCGTGGTGCTTGAAGCTTTTCACTGGCACCAACTTTCGGTGTTCACGGCGATAGTGACGAGTGAAGGAGACACGAGCGAACAAAATCAGGGAGGTGGGGGCGCGGGGGCGGCGAGAGAGAAGATAAACAAGCGAAGCAGCGAAATCAAAATTGAATATAAGCATTATATCGATATATACGATATGTCAGAATTCATATCGAGTTTAAAAACTATCTCGATATATTTAAAATATCGATATATATCGCCCACCCCTACTTTCTATTGACAATCTACTGAACTAAAGGTAAAAGGAGCTGCTAAACTGAAAACTACTACTTCATGACATCACAAGGTGGAACAGAGCATTTTTCTCTTTGGACATGTAGACAGACTAATAATAAAGTGTTACTCAAATGTGTGAATGAAACAAAATATATCACCAGGTCTGTTTTTGAGGAGGTAACAACATTCTAACATGGATTAAACCTCACAGGAGGCAATTTTCTTAATACAAAATGTAATATCTTTAATATCTGAGTTATTCCGACTTGTCCCTCATGCAACTAGAGGACACTGGACATCTGTTGGACTTGTCCCAATCCATATCCTGTAGAACAGATCATTCAGTCTTAAAAGAAGTGAACACATAAGAATGTTGAATGTTGAAGTGAAGCAGAAACAAAATGAGAAACGAGCTGAAAGAGTGACTAAACAGTGAAATGATGCTCCATGTTTGTTCCCATGGCTGAGTCAGTGGCGCAGCTCACAGCAGCACACACAGTGTCCCGTGAACACAACACCTCCTCCATGTGATACACAATGCACCGCTGTTTGGATGATCTGCTCTGATCAGACACACACACTGGAGACTGCTCACGCTCTGACCACCGCACGCTCATAACAACACACTGGACCTTTGACGCACACGGATGGACATGAGCAGCCATCGCACAACCACACAACTGTGTGTGTGATATCAACACAGCTGGTGCCCCGATAAGAGACCGTTAATAGACCATATATGGAGGAGGCAGGCTTGAAAAAGAGCAAGAGGAGGAGGAGGGGGAACACACCAACCACCTGGACTCATCACACATACACATGTGCAGGTATAAGTCTAGAGTCGTGTTTTGTTCCATTCACATGTCACACTTTCATTTATTCATTCATTGTTCCAGCCAACACAGTGACGTCTTTGGTATTAACACATTAAACATGACTGAACTCAATAAACTGCATGTTCTGTTTTGATCCCACACGCTGCATTATGAATATTATGATAGTAGAACTGTAACTGTGACATGGTGCCTTCACATTACTCAGATTCAGCCTTTCTCCTTCAGCTGCAGGTGATTGGTTTACTTCTTGGAATAGTCCAGCAATGTGTTAACACCATAATTGTTTAAGACTTTTTTTTTTTTTTAATCTGAGCGTCACTATTCAGACAGCCCTAAACAACACACAAATGAGGCTAACTGTGTCATTTACATTTAGAAAGATGTTCACAGCAATCAAAGAAAAGAGATCAATATATCATTATTACAAAATAAAATCTGGATTTTTTTGCACACCCTGTCCTATTATGATATGATATGATATGTTATGATGGGGGTGACAGTAGATCAGTTGGTAAGAGCGTTTGTCCTCTAATCAGAAGGACATATGGACATCAGTGGTCAGTTGAGTGGTCAGATCCACTGACCCACAGGTTGGTGGTGCGATTCCAGC